AGTATTAGTTTAGTATTAGTATTAGTATTAGTTTTAACATGACTATAGTATTAATATTAGTATTAGTATTAGTATTAGTATTAGTATTAACAGGGCCGGTTTTGGGAGAGACGAAGGGCCCCCGGATTTTTAAGAAAATTTAGGCCCCCCAAATTATGTTACATACACTTTATATATGAATACTTATTTTTTTAAAATTTATTATATATAATATTTCGGAACATCAATTCTAAAAATTTAATATAAATGATCAATAGATGTCTTAATTATTTATTATTATACCTAAAATAAGAATCATTATTCATTAGTCTATTTAAGTTTTATAAATATTTATGAAGTTTATTTTCTATAAAGATTATACATCATGGGAGGAAGTGAACCAGCAAATCATCCTGTTAATTTTGATTTTTTCTCCATATTTGAAGTTATTTTATGTTCATACATCAGAAAATGTTTCGGGGGCACTACCCTTGAACCCCCGTAATCTTTATTTCATCATTTAAAAAAAAATTATTTATATGTTTTTAGTATATTTAATTTTGAACACTCTTTAATAAAATTGATTTGTCAGATAGGGACCCCGGTTTTAAGTTGTTTTTTAAATCTCGCCTAGGCCCCCTAAATTCTTAGGAACGGCCATGAGTAATAACATTAGTATTAGTATTTGTATTAGTAAATATTAACATTAGTATTAGTATTTGTATTAGTAGTATTATGATTATTTCTACTAGGATTTGGATTGGATTACGATTATGATTATTATTATGATTATGATTAGGATTATGACTATTATTATTAGAATTAACACTGACATTAAAATTATAATTAGAATTAGCATTAGCATTAGCATTTGAATTAACATTATGATTATACGTAAGATTATGATTACGATTAATATTAGCACTAGCATTAGAACTAGGATTAGTAGCATTAGTTTAGGACTAACATTAGTACTAGCAATAGGCAGTAGAACTAGAATTACGATTATCATTAGCATTAGTATATTATGATTAGCATTAGCATTAGCATATACATATTAGCATTATTATTAGCATATTAGTATGAATATTAGTATTGCGATATATAGCATTTTGATTATTAATATTACTAGCATTATAATTAGAATTATGATTAGAATTAGGATTAACATTACCATTAGCATTAGTATATTAAGAATAATATTAAAATTAGTGTTAGCAATAGCATATTTGCATTTCTATAAGAATTAGAATTATGCTTCGTATTATTATTAGGATTAGGATTATAATTATAATTAGAATTAGTATTAGAATTAAGATTAACATTAATATTAGTATTAGGATTATGATTATAATTTTGATTAGAATAATGATCGGGTGTAGTACGTACTAGGATTAGGATTATGGTTAGGATTAGCGTTAACGTTATGATTAAGATTAGCATTAGGATTACTAATAGTAATAGTATTATTATAAGATTAGTATTAGTATTACTATATTAGTATTAGTATTAGCAATGGTAGGTAATGATAATGATAATGGTGACGGTAGTTGTAATGGTAATGATTGGTATTGGTATGAGTATCAGTATTTGTATCGATATCTATATCAATATTGGTATCGTAATGATAATAGCAATGATAATGGTAATGGTAATAGTAACGGTAATGGTGTTGGTATTGGTGTTGGTATTGGTAATGGTAATAGTAATGGTAACGGTAATAGTAATGATGTACTCGCCATTTGTATACGTAAATTAAACCTTCGATATTTAGTTTTTTTCACTTATTTTGGTTGAATTTGTTATTTACATGAAATAATTTTTTTTTAAACTTTGTATTGCACATTGATCTTACTATTCCGAGAACTTTTTAAAATTAAATATTTATTTTTATAATGAATTTCCCGTGCAACGCACGGATGAAGTACTAATTACCATAATAAAGAAATATCCAATTACATTTTCTTCGTTAAACAAAACTCTACTCTTTGAATAGTTGAAACTTCCATTACCTTATACTCTAACAACTGTCAACCTATCCTCCTAACACAAAAGCGTTGAAATCTGATTATTCCGTCCTACACGCCTTCACTAAAGTCGTCTTCTCCAAGATCACCACAATTTCCTTCCATCGATTTACTAATGTTGTATGATAATTACTTAATCATCTACATGATTCAGATAGTCTAATAATAAAACAACTATATTTCATTATTGTCAATTTATTATTTCTAATGTCTAATATTCGATTTAATTCTTTAATCATCTATAGTATTCTGATAGTCTACAAAATGACTAGTCCACTAGGTAATAATGCAGTTGCTTTATGTCCAGTTTAATCCAGAATTTCGCTAGAATACAATAAAAAGAGTTATCGCTGATTATCTCAATCCCCTTCTACTTATTTCAATTCAATTTCAAAATATTATTACACACATTAAACATTATAAATTACTATTCTTATTATATACATAAATATTATCCAATAAATTATAACTACTCATGTTATTTTTTATCGAAAATTTGACAATTTTGCAATTAAACAATATCACAAAGAAGAGCCTCATATTATACTTTCGTTTTGGGTCGATCGATGCATGAACAACGGTTAAATCAATTACAAATCATTTCAATGAAAAAAAAGTGACACAAACTTTATGTTCGTATTCACCAAAACATCGTCCATCCTAACTATTTAACAAACTATACCGTCGGTAAAAGACTCTTCCCCTTTCTATCTTCAAAACTCTCCGTCACCTTTTTCATCCATCTAGTGGACACCAGAGGACGACCACTACATCCCTCTATTTTATTCCTCCGTTGCCGTTCAAGGGCCCACCCCCCTCCCAGGGTCGATCGGACATATTTTGAGGCCTGGGGCGAAATAATAAAGTGTCGTTAACTAATACAAGGGTTCGGGGGGAAGCATCCCCAATTTTTTTTCAGAATATATTAATGTAGATAAAGATTTACTAATATAAGCCTCATTATAGAATAAATATAATGCATATTTGGATTAGAAATTTTAAATTGGGGTGGAACGAGAAAGGGCCCATATTTAATTAGGGCCCAAAAAATAAATTTTTAATTTCATGTAGATTAGAAATATAATGCATATTTGGATTAGAATATAATGCATATAATTTTTTTTTTGATTTAATTTAAAAAAAAACCTATTCATAAAAAAATATATTTATTCTATTTATAAAATAAAAATAAATATTTTAATATCATATGCTATAACTATGTTACTAATTATTCTAAATCTTAATTTTTGAAAAAAAAAATATTAAGTAATTCTTTTGTATAATAATCTCATATTTATGTTCTATTCAATAATATTTCAATTCTATTATTAATAAATGAAATTATTTTTTATCATAAATATTCTTTAGTTAATAAATTTAATTATTTTTAGATAAATTCTACATGATAATGATTAAATTTATATAAAATAAAATAAGTAACATTAAATATATATATATATGAAATTAAAAATCCATTTTTTGGGCCCCTATTAAACATGGGCCCTTCTCGTTCCACCCAGAGCCGGCCCCTACCCCTCCTCTTTTCCTTCTTCAAAATCATGTTATATTGAATAAAGAAGTATTCTTTATTCTTGTGATTTCCTATTGGGACGAGCTTACCTTTGGTTTTGGCAACTGGGGAGGGTTTGGTTGTTGATGGGTCGAATGAGGTGAAAATGGCAACTAGGCGAGGCATTCGATTTTTTTTTTTTTTTTTTGATTTGATTTTTCTGGACAAATTTGTAAGAATAAAGTGAAATTGAGGTCAGATTAAAAATAGAGATAAGATAGGGGTAAAAGTGTATGGTCACTTGCTCTACACGTGCTTTTTCCGTCAGAGTTAACACAAAAATTAGACGATGGACGAAAATTGTTAAAAAAACTCAGGCTACGGCTATATGCAAGACTAATTTCACTTGTGCAAGACGAAATTAAATTTTTTCCATGCATAAATACTATAATACCCTTACTTGTTAAAAAAAATATAAAGTTTCAAATGTGCAATACCAAAAACTTAAAAACACAAAAAATCATATCAGAAAATCACAAGATTGACTCTCATCTTCTCCATCTTCCATAATCCATAAAACATTTTCCCTTCCTCCTCCATAAACCTACAAAACCTAAACATTCAAATCATCAAAACTCAACAAATCTAACAAAGATGACAAGTATGGAGTCAAAAGACAAAAAATAGAGATTCTACGGTGGAATAACCCAAGAAGGTATTCATTTATGTATTTTTTTAACTAGAATATCGTTTTTTCAAAAAAAATCCCGCGTAGACGCGGTCGACATGTACAAGTTGAATTTTATAGGTAAAAATCGACATTGAGATGTCGATTTTGAAGTATAAAATTCGACATTGCACAATGTCGAATTTGTGTTATGAATTCGTCATCTCAAAGTCAATTTTTACCTATCAAATTCAACATCTCAATGTCGATTTTTACCTATCAAATTCGATATACTTTTGACGTCGAATTTGGGTCTTTTTTTCGACGCTTAAGTGTCGATTTGTAGCATAGTTTTTTGACACCTTGGTGTCGCTTTTTACCAGTTTCAATTTTTTTCCCTTTCTTTTCTTAAGGTTGAACAAAATGAGGAATTACACAATTAATTACTCTGGCTGCGGCCGCGGAGCTTGGGCGGCGTTGCTGTGTCGATGGAAAGGGTTTCAGAGGGGGCTGGACTTTCTCTTTTTTAAATTTTATGTTTTTTTTTTGCATTATTTGCTATTTGGTCTTGCATGAGCAAACAAAAGTCAATTTAATTTATGAATATATCTGTCATTTCATCTTAATAAAATAGAATATTTCTTTAATTTGGTCTTGTACAAGTAAAATTAGTATTGCATATAGCCGCAGCCAAAGTTATTTCAGGGTCCAAAAAAAAAAAAATAAAGAACAACAAAATAAATGTATAATATACGGACCAAAAGCAAAAGCGTAATTATCCCACACAAGTGTCAATGACGTCATTTATAAAAGAAACCCATCTCCCTTCCTCGTGTATTTTGACCGTACAACCCACTCACTCTCCCTTTCCACTATTTTTCCCTTTTATCTCACAAAACAAAAAAAATCCCCAATTCTATCTCCCGATTCTAACTAGGGTTTTCTTTCCCCCCCCTTTTTTCACATAAAACCTAACCCATCGGAAAATTGTTTAATTTCTTCAATTTGATTCAATAAAACCTTTCTGTAATCTATTTTTTTTTCCCTTTTCCTTTTAATGTAGTATTAAATTATGGAGTCGGGTTCTACTTCTTCTAGTGTTACCAACGGCGGAGGTGATGGTGGAGGGGCAGCTCCACCTCCGGCGCCGATGCCGGCGGCGAACGCTCCGCCGCCGTTCCTGGTGAAGACGTACGACATGGTGGATGACCCGAGCACGGACAAGATAGTGTCGTGGAGCGCCACCAACAACAGCTTCATCGTCTGGGATTCCGCGGAGTTCGCCAAGGATTTGCTGCCTAAGTACTTCAAGCACAACAATTTCTCCAGCTTCGTTCGTCAACTGAATACCTACGTATGTGCGTTGTCTTGCCCCTCTTTATTGCTCTCTCTCCTTTTCCATTGCTGCTGATTACTTCTGCTTAGGCTTTGTTTATATGTTAAATAATAAATAATTCCCGTGATTTTTTTTTGATTGTTTGTTCAATTGTGATTATGGTTGATGTGCTTGCAAGATGGAACATTGTTAGTGGGCATAGGTTCCAAGCTACTGCTATGTTTCACGCCCCCCGTTTTTATTTAAATCTTCGATCTCATTTATATGTAGCAGCTTATTTTTTTGTGATCGTGGTAATGTTAATTACATGGATCAGTGAATTTAGTACCTTGTTTGATGAATCAGTTCGCCAACATGAGGCTGCAATTTTGAATTGATGGTTCGTCAGTCTAGAGTCCGTAATTATCATTTTTATTTGTTTCTACCTTATACGAGTTGATAGTATGATACTGTAAGGATAGGTTGAAATGCGATTGTTTTTCTGTTGGAATTTAAAAATGATACGTTAGAGTGTTACGAATTTTATGTAGTGCTGTCCCTGCTGGGGATTTATGAAGGTGCCATGGTTAGGGCTTGGAAGTTAAATGTGATTTTTAGTTATGTGAGAAACTTTTAGAATCTGGAGTATGTGTTAACTCTTGTCTGAATTAGATATTCAACTTGAAATGGTTAGGGGCATGAAGCAATTTAGTACTATTGATTTATTGAGACCATGGACTTTGATTCAGTTTAAGTTTGAACTTCATTTCATCTGAGCTATTTATCCTAGTGGTATTCCTTTTGTTTCAGTTGATGTCTAGTCACGTCACATCTGATTTGAAATACTTTTCCCACCATATCAATCATGTTCGTTTTGGGTTGTGAAATTTGTTGCATTTGATGTTGAGTAGAATGAGCTAGATGCATATTTTGTGATTTTCCACAAGACTGTATATTTTTGAAGTCAAAAGTGTAGTTAGTTGATTTGATTTAGATAACTAGTCAACGATTAAATAGTTAAGAAGGTTTTAGTATAGTATGAAATTATAAAGATTTTTAAGTTACTCTTTGAAAACTTCTCCGTGGTGCCATTGATGAACTTAATTGGCTGTGCTGAGACTAATAAATCTCTGTGCCCCTTCGATGTGTTGAGTAGGATATTTTGAATTAAAAAAAATTGGTAAAAAATGCATGCGTGTTTGTTTGCAGATTAGAGAATTGGAATATGCTTGCAAGAAGGGTTAGTTTTGATCTCTCTGTTGATAAACTAGGATAAGTACAACAAGGGTTTACAACCTGGTTGATAAAGTGTTTTGTGAGGTTTTACGACTATGGTTGGAAAAGATTTGTAATAACTACTGAATTCTGAAAAGGCTTTCTGCATGATTGTCATCCTTATAGAGTATTTGACTGTGAAAGAACATATATGATAATTTATGGATTTCAACCCCTGATCCCAATTCACTCTTTGGAAAAGACTTAACTAACATGTCGTTTGGTGTTTGCTGGGTAAAGGGATTTGCAAATTGAGTGTCTATTTTTACTATCTCACCTTGTTAAATGCAAGAGTGTAGTGAATTCTAATAATGAAAGAAATGCAATTAAATTTTGAATCAATACCTAATCTCTCATTTTTTTCTTTTCCACGTGTGGAAGTTCATTACCTTATCAATTTTGTAAATTCTCTGGCTTCATTACCTTTGGTTGGTCACATATGTCTATGCTAGCCAACTAATCCATGCCATTTGTTCTTTGAAAGACATAAAAATTGATCACCTTTTGTATTTAGACTTCAAAACCAAGTTGCAAGCAAAAATGTGCAGGTTTTTCCAATGCTTCAAATGTAATTAAGGTGTATTTTATTTTCTCTTAAAATATAGTGTTAGTCTCATATTGAGTTAATAATCAGGTGCAAATCCCTCTGTTCATATTACTATGTTCCACCGTTGATGGAATATAACATATTTGGACTTTTTACGGGTACCAAAGAATTTTAGGATTATGATTCTGAAATAGTCTTGCGTATATAACTACGGGTCTGAGCATGAACTGCATTATTTCTGCTCTGGGTACAAATTAAATTTTGTTGAGGTGCTGAATATAGTTGAAGGCATGTTATATATCACTGTTGTCCTATATTTTAGAAGGAATACTGCAAACTTTTTTCATCATCAACTACTGCAAGCTTGATCTAATAGAGAACGGAATTCAAGTCAAGTAGACCAATTTGCAAAATGCCCACTTGCCATCGATTCTAAGTTCATGAAATATGTCAAGGATGCCAATGTTTACTTCCATTAACTGATTGCTTAATGCAATTCTAGTGTGCTGTCTGCTCTTTGTGGATGAATTATGCTGCTCTTGGCATCAGTTCTAATGCTTTCTTGTACATCTACTTGCTTCTTGATATTCATAAAGGATATGGTAGAAGTTATTTACACATTTAAGACCTGTAACTGTTGGATTTAATTTTGAAAGTCCTTGTAGGTTATCCATTTTGTCATCCATTTCCCTATATATCTTCTCTCTCTATATATTTAATATTTCAACACAATTGTTAACTTTTAGCGAGCATTTTATTCTACTTAATGGAGTTTTCTTGGGAAACAGGGTTTCAGAAAGGTCGACCCGGACCGCTGGGAGTTTGCAAACGAGGGTTTCTTAAGAGGACAGAAACATCTGCTCAAAGGCATCAGTCGCCGTAAACCTGCACACGGACACCCTCAGCACCAGCAGCAACCACCAAACATTCAGACTTCTGCAGTAGGACCATGTGTCGAGGTCGGCAAATTTGGGCTCGAAGAGGAAGTCGAGAGGCTGAAAAGGGACAAGAATGTCCTAATGCAGGAGCTTGTCCGATTGAGGCAGCAACAACAAGCCACCGACGGTCAGCTCCAGACAATGGTCCACCGTCTACAGGGCATGGAGCAGCGCCAGCAGCAAATGATGTCGTTTTTGGCCAAGGCAATGAACAGTCCTGGTTTTCTCGCACAGTTCATGCAGCAACCGAACGATAATAACAGCGGCCGACGCATATCGGAAGGTAGCAAAAAACGGAGACTTAAGCAGGACGACGGTGTTTCTGAAGATGTGGGTCCCACCACCGACGGTCAGATTGTGAAATACCAACCTATGATTAACGAGGCTGCGAAAGCAATGCTGAGGCAGATTATGAAACTAGATTCTACTTCGTCTTCTTCGCCTTCTCCTGGACTAGAAAACTTTGGAAATGGTTCTGATGGTTTCTTGATTGGTGACGGTTCATTAGATTGCAGCACTGCTTCGACTGTGACTCTTCAAGAAGTACCGTTATTTATGCCGTCGTGTTCGGATAATCAAGCGCCGCCCATTGGAGGAGCAGTTGCTCCAGGGACCATTCCACCACCACCGCCACCACTGCCGCCTGATAGTGATATAATACCGGAACTCTCTCAAATCAATCTTGACATGGTGGGAAATTCCGAAACGCAAAACGGGATTTTCTTGGACGGTGAAATTCCGTTTGAAATAGGTGGGTTTAGTCCAGATAGGGATATGGAATGGGATAGCAGTAACTTGTTGGAGGGGCTACCTGAAGTTGTTGACCCATTTTGGGAGAAGATATTAGGAGAGGCTGAGATGGATTCGGTACTAACAGATGATATTTTTGTTGATGCTCCTGAGAAGGGAGAAGACGCCAAGGCGTCGGAGAATGAGTTTGACAAATCATCTGAGCGTGTGGCGGAGCTGACTCAGCAGTTGGGGCTTCTCTCTTCAGATGCCGATAAATTATAGTTTGTCTTAAACTCGTGTACGTACGTACGTAGCTTTTGAAAAAAAAGGGTTAATATCGCTTTGGTCTGAAATGTGTTGTATTCTTTGCACATATGGAGAGTGTATCGTCTCAACTTTTTTGATGAACGTTATATTGTGTCTTTTTGTTGCGTCCCTCCAGAGTTCTCTAATCTGATATACTTGTAGTTCGATTGTCTTGTTGTTTTTGCCTTTGCCGATGTTCAACCCTAATTACTGAACACAGCTAATTATTAACTAAACCAGCCCCCCATGCAGTGCTCATATTTTTTTGATTTTTTCTCGCATTTTATCGGATGAAGTTTTACATTTTGATTTATTTAGTATTATTGAGTCATTCAGTTATATTTTTTTATTAGATTTTAGGATTCGAACCGATTTGGTCTGTTGCGCGCGTAAAATTATTTATCAGTTTGGCGCAAGAAGTCAAGAACACCCTATCTTGTTACCAATTTGCGCGTGTACTCGTTTTGGGGTGGAAGTGCCATTTTAAGCGTTTTGCAGTTTGAAGTAGGTTAAAATTGGACGGAGTCCCGGAATTAATCTTTTTCAGGAAAATTCCAATTTTATTTTTCTCCAAAAATATATCTACTTCAAATTCCGATTTCAAAATTCTAAATGTAAAAATCGATTTCTGATTCCAAAAGTTTTGGAAATCACATTAGTTTAAATTTGTTGTTAAGTTTTGGTAATTTTCGTGAATGAGGCGAGGAAGCAGGCAAAGAAAAAAGAAATTAAATAGAAGAGGGAAAATTCGTTATAGGTTTTTCTTTTAGGTATGATATTGGAAACTAAAATCAGATCGAAGTTGGAAATTCCAATAATTAAATAAAAATTCAGAAAAATCGGAAATCAAAACGAAAAAGGTTGTTACGAAATTGGAACCTTTTTAATCAGAGACGATAGTAATTGGAAATTTTATTCCAACTTTCATCCCTTAATTTTAAGAGAAGTAATTACTTTTAAATCAACGATCCAAAATATATGAATTTTTTTAGCACATCTCCCATGTATGTCTATAATTTTCATGAGAATTGTATTCATTTGGGGTAATTTCATGGCGTTAGTAGAAAATATTAGTTACTTATTGGAACAAGTTTCAGAAACGTTCATTTCGTTTCGTTTCAAAAGATATTGTTACATTGTATAAACATACAGATTTCTAGGCCAACTGCTACAATTACGATTTCTTCAGTAAAAGTACCTTTCCATATAACCGTATTTCAGATCAAGCTCACTTGCAAGTGACGAAAATAGATACCAGCTCTAAATCATTTTTGTATGTCACGACGAGTTGAGATTTCTGCACGCCTGTGTCGAAGACCACCTGTGACAAGTTTATCAGTCGATAAAAACTGTAATTAGATATGGATATAATATGACACAATTTTAGCGATTATTCGTAATAAAGGACCTGATGTTTGCAGTTTGACCGGAAAACTAAATAAAAGAGATAAGTTGCTTAATGTAATCTATTTATGTTAACTGAATCCATAAAACGGACTCGTCAATATAATGCAATAAGGTCATATAGCATGCTTCTTGACCGTCCTTGGCTACATGAGAATGGACCGATTCGTTTTACATGGCATCAATGCTTCAAGTATATCGAGATAGCCTATGTAAAAAAGGATGTTTGGCTACGATAGAGACCTTTTATGAAAACAAAGCCACAATTTGCCGATGCTAAGAACTACTTTCAACAGACAACCAAAAAGAGTCCATCTCACGAGGAATCCACGCGACAAGACGTTGATTTAAAGCGGGCATGTCATGCAAAACCCTACAAATGGCCTTAGACTTACACCATCAAATAAGCGCGCACAAATCATCTATTTAAAACAGAATTTTCACCAATGATGACAAATATATGCGGATCTGCCTTTATTAGAGTTGGCCCGTCCATAAATTTGGGAGTGAAAGGGTATGTCATAAAAAAAGGGTATTTCCAAGACGTAAAAGGATCTGAAAGAGGTCAATAAGCTACAAGCCACTCAACGATTTCGAAGTCTATTTCCGTTTCGTATGAGGCAAAATGCACTACTTTCACATATCATGTGTCTGGATATTGGAAACTAAGATGCAAACCATCATTAAGGCTATAGCTTATGAGTGCATACCTATAACAAGATCGATTATGCTTTCAAATTTTCTTTTCTTTCCGACGCAATAAAGTTGATTACAGAAATTGCAATAGCATTTCTAGTATATTCTCTGTAAGGATTTGGCCACTTAAAAGATAAATTTCCAAATTACTAAAATAGACAAGGATGCATGACGATTTACCTGGTCCCAGAATTTGGTGAATGCAAGATCGAGGTCCATCAAACATCCAGCTGTCATCATCCAGGGACTTGACCTCTTTATTGAGTTTGGCCATTAAATCCGATTTCAGAGCTGTAAAAGCAAGGCAAGTCCGTCACATTTTCCAATTTGGTTAAATACGATTAATCGGGTACAACCGTACAAGAGTTCTAATAATCTCATGGGAATTAGTTGAATCCAAAAATTCATATAATTCATAACGAGGCTAGGCCATTCTTCACGACCTATTCGATGAACAAGATATCTTTTTTATCACTGACCGGTAAGCTTATAATTCATGTCGACGGAAAACTATCAAAGAGGTATTCTGAAGCAATTTTACCAATTAATGTTTACTGGCAGTGCCATTCATCATTAAATCAAAAGAAGGCTGGTATCATCTTTTTTCTATCTTTATACACATTATATCATTTTTTTTATAAGGTATAAATTACGGCCACCCCCATGAGGTAAGGTCAAATTACGAAAAAAAAACCCTCATATTTTGGTAATAACAACTACCCGCAACTATGAATTTTCTTACACGATCACTCTTATAGTGTCAAATTCAATATAATATTCTCGATTATGTGAAATGTTTTCTAGTTTCTCGTTTTGTGCAAATAAAACAGTTTCAGATGCGCCGCAATCTAATATTTACAAGCCAATATACACATCTTATGATCATCTTGATTCTAAATGTGGAGCTGGAATGGGATAAAACGGGTACAAACTGGAGAATATTCCACATAATCTAGAAGATTCCACTAAATTTGACACTGCAGCGGTGGACATGTAAGAAGATTCATAGTTGATGGGTGGTTGTAATTATCCAAACATTAGGGTCTTTTTCGTAATTTGACGGGGTGACAGCAATTTACCCTTTTTTATACTATAGTTCTTCTTTTACAATAATAGTAACAAAATAAGAATAACGCAGTGAACACTTTTACACTTCTCTTAACTGCAGAAATTGCAAAATTGAATTTTGAAGGAAGAAATGAAAAATTAATAGAAAAAAAGAAAAAAAAAATTTGAATGACTGACCAAGTAGGGCTTGATCCTTGCTATCTAGAATCGAGATTCCGTTAACATCCGCCGCCGCCGCCGCCGCTAGAGCTAGTTCATGATGCAGATGGTGATCGTCGTCCATTGTTGATGAAGACGGCGCAGCCACTCCCGCCGACGACAAGCTGCCGCTGCTCATTTCTTTTCTATTTTATTTCACTACTCTCTGCGCTTCAAATTTTGGTGGTGTGTTCGATTTCAAATTAGGGCATTTTATTTGGGGTTGATTACAGTGAACAATGACGTGGCATTTTAATTTAATCGATAATTTGTCTCTGCTCCCTATAAATTATTTTATTTCCTTCAAAACCCCAAACAATATTTTTTATTTGCTTAAAGTCCTATTTCCTGTAAATTGGATTAATTCAACGAAAAATAAGACAAATTCCCATCTGTCTTTTTTTTTTCAGACGCAAGCCATCTCCACGGCGCCACCGTTCGTCCGCCGCCGACAACCACCGTCGAAAGCCAATTACCGAGTTATCCTCATCGTCCGTCTGCATTTTTCCATAAGTGAGTGAATAGGTTTTTTAATTTGTGTTATCGAAGTCGAATTTGGTGTTTGAAACAATCGATTTCCTGATCCGAAACATACAAATCGGTACAAAACAGGCCGAATTTTGACCTAATTTGACGAAGAAGAAGACCAAAAAATGATGCAGAAACCGGTGCTGAATTCATTCGGTACTGGTTTTTTAACCCCATCCCAATACCGATTTTGAAACCTAATTGTTGTATAGAATTTGAGCCCTAATCCCGCCCATTCAACTATCTGGCTAGTTGGGTACAAGTCACTGTTGCGATAAAGGTGTTAATTTTGAAGGTTTCTTTATACGCAATTGTTTTGTAGGGTAAGGGATTTTCATTCTGATTCAGGGAATTCATGTCATATTTTTGCCACATTTAGCAATTAATATTTTGATGCATCGTTCCTTCGTCTCACGTCAGGTGCGCGTAAATGGAAGTTCATCGATTTCAAGCGCAAATAAGTTCGATGATAGGATTCGTTCTCGTATTTCTGATGAACGTCGCATCTTACGCAGATGCCTCCATTTACGTGAGTGAAAATTGATTTACTCAAACCCATTGAGATTCTAAGCCTATTATTAGTTTTTCTCCGTGTTTGTATGCTGTCAAAAGCTTTTAATCGTCCTGCATTTTACGTTTTTACAGGCACAGACAGGTTGTACGGATAAATACATTGCAAAATGTTTTTTCGAGAAACACGATAATTTATTAGGACAAGAGTTTCACGATTTCGTAGCAAATGAAATCCCACTTGGCTTGTCAGAAGTAGTTGTAAATAAAAACCATGTTGTACCCACATTGTCCCATCTACATCGCAATGTTACTGGTGAAGGTTCTCATCGTCACTTACATTCTTCGATCACATTTGACTTGAAACCGAAACTCAAACCAGAACTCGATGCACGTTCTTGTGAAGTAATAGTCGTTGAAAAACTGCCATCTGGAGTCTTTGCTGACCCTTTCGAGCTCGATCATCTTGTCCAGCGTGGCGGTATATATATATTTATTTATGGCTATTACAATTTTAAAAGCAAATTTTTGAAGGTTTTTATTACTTTTTTTTTTTTTTTTTTGCAGTTTTTAGCGATGCAGGTGTCTTCGGTGATACAAATTTAGAACTACCTTCTTTCCGCTCTAATAGATCAGTTGTGGAAATACATATGAGCATTGCTTCCAACGTCTTGTCAATAAATAAGGATTATTTGGAAGTCAACCTTGTGGTTCCGTTGCATGCACGATATCCAGTAAGTTATTTGGGAGTTGACTTTCTAGTTTACAACGCTCTTTGCGAAATCTTTCTTCGCCTTTTAAGTTGGTAATTTGCTAATCAGTTGAACCGGCCAAAAGGGAAAATAATCGTATCTATGTTAATGTTTCTGTAATTAGTCTTGCTTATTGTTTTTTTTTTTTGGTCCTTTGCTTTACAGCCTTTAGGACATGAATTTTCGAGGGTTGAATTCGGGCAACCGGATATATTTATGTGCTGCAATCTTGAAGGAGATGTGCATAAAAGGAGATGTGTTTCGATGCCTGATAACAATATTTTGGACAGGGAAGCTAGTCCTGTTATGTGGGAAATACCATGTGGAATCAAGAAACATGCCGAATTTGTATCGGCTGTCACTTTTGGCTTCGCTGTTTTGGCTTCTTCAATTATTGTATTGACATCTATTTTTTATTCAGATAGTCAAGGCTCGGATAAATTGAAACGATCATAGCATGTTACTGAACATATTCTGAGGTTCGTTATTGAAGTTTCTCTGTTTATTCTCTCATGTTAGAGCTCTTATTAGTCAAAATGTGAAGCATTGCTCGCATTTTCTCCTTCTGCAATTTAGAGGACGAACTGTAAGAGATCAATACTATACAATGTTGTATGGGAAACAAATCGTATAGAATTCCAAAATTCAATCCCATTATTTATGTACTTAATAAATGAGCTTAGTGTCGTTTGCCTAACGATAATGGAAAAGCTATAAAGCTAAGTGCAAAGTTTAGCAGCCAATATCTAATCGAATTGACGCGAACCATAAACTCAGGATGTTGGCTACTTGTGATAATTCATGTGCTAGAACATCAAAAAAAAAAAAAAAAAAAAAAAAAGAAACAAAAAAAAAGGAGAGAGAGAGAAAGCAGCATCGATAAAAGCAGCAAATAAAAAACCTAGGCAACAATGATAGTGGATAATCTTAAGACAATGGAAGAAGTCGGTGAATCCCATACACAAGCACGCAACACGAGAATAAAAAAACGAGAAGACAGAATTTACAGGATGGAGTACTCGTTAGCACCCCCACCTTCAACCATGAAGGAATCTGTATTCAACCACATAATATCGTTATAGTTCTTTTGTCACAAAAGCCTTTTTGATTTAACAAGCAGTAACACACTCAAAAAGCCACAATGCTTGCAGATATTGCAAACAAACTTAACCACCAAACATCAAATGACACTTGTCACCATTTTTTGGGAGATCCGATCAGGCAGCAAGTACTATGATCACTATGAGAAGCACGATGCCGAATATCACGAGTAGTAAGCAAGCCTGCAAAAGGAAATTTAAGAAAAATGAGAATTCCGCTACTTAATAAATATGATGAAAAATGACACGAGGCGCTAAAAGCACTTTGCAACTATTATCGTCAGTTAATCGAAGCTGATGACACGGGTAACAAAAGATTTATCAAAAAATAAATGGGCAACAACAAATAGTGGCATCGAAGTAGCAATTTTGACATAAGATAGTAGAAATGAAGTGCGATATGATTATGCCTCATTATATAGGTTCGTCTATAACTCACCAAAGATGAGTTTGATCTCTGGGTTTTAGCTGCTTTAACCAGTTGGGATTTTCCTTGAGCAGTAGCTGCATGAGCACCCTCGATATTGGAGCTAACATCATCTGCACAAGACGAACAAATTCTTAAGTTAGATTGGTTAAACCAGCATATTAAAATCTAATGATGGGCTAGGGCAAATGATTCACCAATCATAGTTCCTTGCTCGTGAACCAGTACCGCAAGATCTTTGAAAATCTCATTCACTTCACCAATTTGTTGTTGAATTTCTTGTATTCCCTGCTCTCGTTCCTCTATGATAGCTTCATTAAAAGAAATTTCATTGTCCAACAGCACAAAGTCCTGCCTGTAGCATAAGCACTAGTGACTTAGCAAACAATACTTTATAGAAATGCTTTCTGACGACCATTTTGCCAGCTAACTAGGGATATCACTATTCCTCAAATATTCAAAGTCGATATCGAGCTTCCCATAAGGGACAAAGGTGAGTAGGGGACTTTAATGTGATATGCAACGAAATTATTAATCATCAATCAATCAATATATAAACTATGACCTACTACTAAGAAACCTACAACATAGAGAGTAATAAAAAGAAACAAATAGAAAGAAAAAAATGGCAAATTATTAAGCAGGAATCAATAAATAATGAACATGTAGAAAACTTCCAAGCATTTTTTTCCACCAACTAAATATTCCCTGAAGATATGGCCTTTTCTTATAGCTGAACTTATGAGAATATACAAGAAAGAACCGTAAATCAGTTTCATTTTCGGAATTGATATTTTTTCTCTTTTTTTTCGGAATTGAATTGACAGCATAACAAATGCATTTTTGCAGGAAATCAATTACCTCAGCACTTATCAAATTCATATTAGCACTGTCTATCAATGTACTAGCATGAATACTTTCTGAAAAAGGGATGAATATCAGCCAAATAAGGTTGTATGTCTGGATATATATTCATCTATAAGTAAAGTTGCTGGCACTCATGATAAGCTCAAAGAGTTTGTAGATGTTCCTTGTAATTGAAGTAGCATATGAAAATATATGCAAGGAGTCCCATAAGAACTATGCACGGTAACAAATTATAGAATGAGACTATTTCTATGGACACCTAATGGTACTGCAAATATTCGTTGCAATTTTCATGCCTGCACTTCTCTTTAATTCAATCAAAGATATCAAATTTACAATGGACTGTTCATGAACAGCTGAGTTTATCAGTTTGCCACATGCTAAGCACAATCATCATAAAATCAAATTTCAAAATTTTATGTACCTTCTAGATTCTGCAAGAAGCACTCGCTGTTCTGAATATTTATCCGCACTTCCATCAAAATCTCCAGCTGAATAGCTGCAGAATATTAGTTTCCACGATTAGATAAAGCTGAAACAAAGCTCCAATGAAGATAAACAACATGAAATGACATTTTAGATTTAACTAAATGATCCACCACTCACAAAATGCTTACTATATGTAGAGTTCCGCAAAAAAAATGATGTTTACAGATAAATATAGCTTTGAAACCAGAACGAGTATAAGTCCCCATAGAATTCATTACCTAGAAGGCAGAACTGATTGCGGAACAAAAGGAGTATAAGCAGTCTCCCTTTCAGCAGCAAGCCGCTGAGCCTTCTGAAATTCCTTTAGTACTGCTTGAAAGTCTTTTGCAAGTTTAGCGTCTGTAATTTTCTTGCTTGCCTGCACGGAGAATGATGTCAATCATGATCACCTAAACATTTTGGTGAGAATAAGGCTTCAATCACCAAAATTCACCACTTGAAATTTTGTAAACAACTCAAGGACTACAAATATCATCCTCTGGCATTTTTTTTTGGTTTCAAGAGAAATTAAAATATATTCTTGCTGGCAAACCGGATTCCAGGAGTTAATAATAGATATAATATAATAAAACACGACTTCTGAATCAGCAGTTAGGCAAGGAAGAAACTTACACTGACTTCAACATTATGGTCTGCTTCACTAGCTTGTTTAAGCTTAGCTGAAGTATCCTTCACTAACTGTCCAATATGTAGCCGGGTTTTGTGCCTGCAGTTGAGTGAAACCAGCTTAAGACTCCCAAATTTATTACATAACAATATCAGCAGCAATTGCATAGAGAAATCATATGATGTATTTAAAATCACCAACATCCTCAACAAGCTACAGACAATAAGAACAACTGGTTGTAAATCACAGATGAAAGACTGCAATCTGTTTAATGGATACGAAAGGTTTAAGGTGTCCCTGATAGGCATCGAGTAAAGTCCCAGATGACTAGAAGTACCAACACAGGGTCTACCAAAAACAAAGGCTCCATAGAGATATAATTGGGTCGAAATTAATCCTGTTAGTCAAGGAAAAATCATGCAAACAACGCCTTGAGCGGGCCCATCGAAATGGTCTTTAGTCTTGCCCGTTTAGTGTATACACATATGCAGGGAATATTCCAGAACTAATGCCTGCAAATCCTCATTCCAGTATTCATGCTACCAGTCCTAATTATTCAAGGAATCTACGAGTTTACTACTAGCCAAAGAATCTCTTTCACTAATATAAGAGGCTTATAGCGCCTGCACTGTATATCTTAGGCTCATCTCGAGTTTTCTAAATGATTTGAGTGCAGACTGTCATTAGCCCCAATTATAGAGCTGGGTAGACAATTGGAATTGCTTCAGCATTACATCTGGTTCTCGTAAGTGTGAAATGGTAATCACGAAATTTACACAAAACATATTGGCTCACATCATGATTGCATAGATTCACAACATCAGACTCTAACCTCCAGCTCCGACTAAAGATAGAAAATTTCTATCGAATCAATCCAGAAACAATACTACATTACAATCAAAAACTCCACAAAAGTCAACTTCATGCTTCAAACAACGAAAACTACAAAATACGAAACAGAATCAAATTAATTATAAAAATAGAAAAAAAAGACTAACAGCTTTTCGCGGAGTTCGGGGGTGTCCTTTGGGGTACCAAGAGTATTAACAAGGCGCTGGAATGTGGAAACCGCCGTGTTGATCTGGAATATTCCGGAGGCCACGGCCTGCGTGGGGTCCTGCCTCCCATTCACGTACCCCCTCCGTGCCCCAACTACACGCCCCGCTTCAAGATCCTGAAAACTCATATCTCCTCCTCTTTCTATGAATAATAGATTATAAAAATAAAATACCTGTCTTTCCGAAACCGTAAAAAAATCAAACCCCCAACCAAAATTCTCTAAATATAATCACAAGGAAGAGAGAATTATCAAAGAAATTCTCAAAATTGAGGACTTTGGAGAAGAATCAAAACCCTAGGAATCCTAATTGGGCAGATTTACTGCGAAATAGGAGATTCTAGCTGAACGGAATACAACAGAGATGATCGCAACACAAAACAGTGGAATTTTGGTTGGGTGGGGGGGAATTGAAACGAAATCGAGGAAAGAATTGATCGAGGAGAAAGAGAGAATTTGGTACGGGTGACCTTTTCTTTGTTTTTTTTTTTCTTTTTTGACGAGAAATAGGAAAGGAAGTTTTGTTGGATTGAAATCAGAGAGAGAAACAATTATCAAAAAAAAAAAAAAAAAAATTGGAGAGAGAAACGAAAAGGACAGAATGATTGGGTCTCTCTCTCTCTCTCTCTCTCTCTCTCTATCTCTCTCTGAGGTGTGGGAGAGCAGCTTGTGTATGTGTGTGTGTGGAGTCAGGCGGCCTTTTGTATGAAACACGTGGATTGTCGACGCCGTTGCTTATAGACCAAAGCACCTACCTACCCTACTACAATTTGTTCCTTTGGTTATATGCGCTTTGGACATTTTTTTACCATAACTTTTTACTTATTTACCATAAGTTTTTCTCTTATTATATTTTTTCTATCAAACCTCATAAATCATAATCCATTTAAAACCTGAATTTGAACAGTCAAGTCAAAAAAATTAAGATATTCAATAATTTCTGAAATGGATCCAACGAATATAGACCCAAATGTAATGTTTTCGTTTTTTCTCGAATATTCATGTACTCGTGTGATATTACACGACCACATGCCATGTGGTCGTGTAATATCACACGAGTACATGAAGATATTTTTTTTGTTCGTGTAATTTCAGGCGAGTTCTCAGACGGTGCTCGTGTTAAATTATGCGAGCTATGTTTTAAATATTCTAATTTTTTTTTTTTAAATATCTCCTCGCGTGGTCTCACGCGAACAAGGAAGTTTTGCTCGTATGATATTACGCGAGCAAAACATCCATGTTCGCGTGAAAACCACGCGAGTAGATATTTAAACAATATTAAAAAAATTACACTCGCTTAGTTTTACGCGAACAAAGAGCATTTGCTCGCGTAGAATTACACAACCACATACTCTTTTTAATTTCATTTTATGGTTTCAACTTAATAAAAATACTAAATCGGGTAATATTTGAGTACATCATGAATAGAAAATCGAGTAATTTTTCAACACAATCAAAATAGAAAAAATCGAGTAACTCTTCAACACAATCAAAATAGAAAATCGAGTAATTCTTCAACACAATCAAAATAGAAAACTGAATAACCATCATCCTAATACTGAACCAATGAAAATGGAAAAAAAATAGTCATAATATTACAACAGTTATAACCATCCTACTGTCTAATCCTCGATCATCTACCCCTTATCCCCGGCCCCCCCACGACCCCTACTCGACCGATTTGAAGATCATCAGCAATAGGTACAGAAGGCCCGACTCCGACTGGAATAGCTTCTTCCCTCGCTCTTTTGGCTTCTTCTCTTGCCGTTGCTTTCCTTCTACGATCGGATGCAAGAAATCCCCGGTCTCCAATACGATACGGATCATCCGGATTGTTCGACTTCCCATCCAAAGCTTTCATCAAACTCTTACATTTTCCCGCAACTTGACTCATTAAACTTTTCCCTCTACCTCCGGCCATTTATAATTTAACATAAAAACGGAATTAGTATTTAATTAAAATTAAAAAATTAAAAAATTAAAAAAGAAAAAAAAAAATTGCTCGTGTGAAAACACTCAAGCATATCTATTTTCCTCGTGTGCAGGCACGCAAGGACAATAGATCTGCTCGTGTGTTTTCACACGAGCAAAAAACAAAAACAAAAATTAAAATAAATAGAGCTCGTGTGATTTTAGGCGAGCTCGATGAAATGAGCTCGCGTGGTTTGACACGAGCACAACCCCCTGTTCGCCAATAACACACGAGCTCCATTATTTTTCAAAAAAATTCAATCAAAACATACGTATTCTCCATTAAAAAAAAACATACATTTATCTTCTTGTGTGTATCTACATGAGTAACTCCACTATACTCGTGTAGAATCGCGCGAGTACTACCAGATGCTTCTTTAAAAAAAAAATCAATAATTATAATCTACGTAATAAAACAATAAAAAAAATGTAGAAATTACCTCTGATTTGTTGTCGTCTCGGTCGGGATCTGAAATCGAACTCCAAAAGCTTGAGTTTGTAAGAATATTTACCTTTTGATTTTTGAAGAATAGCAAAAAAAAAAGTGCATGCACAATTAAATGGTGTCTGCACAAATCATTTCAGTTTTTAAATTAGAGATAGAAAGGGTAAAACATATAACATGTAGTTTTTTTTTTTAATAAGAATAAATAAAAGGTGTTAAATGCAAATTGCACCTCCATACTATCATCGTTGTCGCATATGATTCCTTATACAACAAAATGCGACAAAGTGGCCCCTCAGCTTAACAGTCGACCCTCAAATCTCTAACACCGTTAGTTTATGTAGCGTACTTGATTATTATATTTTACTTTATCATGTAGCAATCCGGTTGCATCGTCAAATAGTTTACAAAAACATGTCATGTAATATTTGGACGTAAGAATTTTGAGAATTAGAATTGCGCGAAGCATTTTAAATCAAGATTTTTTTAGGCTGAATATGAAATTATAAAATTTCAAAAATCTAAAAGAATTTTGAAAAAATCCAGAATAAAAGAAATTCATAAATTTTGGGTGATATTTTTAGGTTGGGAACAAAATTGGAAATTTTGATAAATTTAAAAGGAAAATATACATAATTCTCAAAATGTAATTTTTTTTTTCGGAAAATTTATGTGAAATTTTAGGTTTGTGGAAAATAAAATTAGGGAAGAAACATGAAAAAAAAAAGAGAGTAAATTGAGTACAAGGAAAGAAAGATGCACACCTTTTATACATAACTATAAAGGTATTGTTATCCGAAATTGTCCAACATCTAGTGCAATGGTCAGTCAACATAGAAAATGAAAGGATTCTTTAACATGACTTAACGGTAGGGGAAACGACGGTAGGGTTTTGGCTAGATTGTGTGGATGATATTGTGGGTGGAGGTGGGGATGGTGATGATGTGATGTGGTGACTGTGTGGTGACGATGGGAAGTAGATATAAGATTTTTTTTGGAATATCAGCGAGGACGAAGAAAGTTCGCGGAGGATGGAAACGTAGTCGATTAAGTTTACTCGACGACATTTTTAAATTCGTTTTTGGATTTTTATTTATTGATTCCTTATTTTTGCCGCATGCAGTTGGACTTGGGGACATAGAAGTTGTGCATTTTTTTTTTCTGCCATTGTCAATCTATCATCTTGAATTTTTATATAAAATAATTACAATTTTTGTACATTTATGAGGTGAGAGTAGTTAGAAGAAAGTGAAATTATGATTTTGCAAACCCTATTACTCAAATACAGACCACGAGCAGGCCCGTTCCTGAGAATTTGGGGGCCCTAGGCGACGTTTAAAGAACATAAGAAAACAGGGGCCCCTATTTAATAAAATCTTTTTTTTTTATTAATGGGTGTTCGAAATTGAATGTATTAAAAAAATATAAATAATATTTTCTAAAAATGATGAAATAAAAGATCATAGGGGTTGGGGGCGGTGCCCCCGAAATATTTTTTGAAATGTGTGAATTTAAAGTAGCTAAAAATGTAGAAAAATATTCAAAATTAACAATATGATTTGCTGGTTCACTTCCTCCCGCGACGTATAATCTTTATAGCAAATAGACTTCATAAATATTTATAAACTTAAATACACTAATGAATATTGATTCTTATTTACCAACCATCATTAGGAGAGTTGGTACCTAGCCTTTACCAATAGGGTAAAGGTCTACGGTTCGAGTTCCACCCTCCCCTAATTTCCCTTGTAATGGACTTGAATTTACTCAAAAAAAATATAGACTCTTATTTTAGAATAAAAATAAGTAATTACGACATTATAAATTTAATATTTAGGGGCTCCAGAGTTATGAAAATTGCAAAAATATCTATTGATCATTTAGCTTAAATTTATTTTAGAACCGATGTTCCAAAATATTATATATAATATTTTATTTAAAATAAGTACTAATATATAAAGTGTAAATAAAATAATTTGGGGGCCCCAAATTTTCGTAAAAATTCGGGGGCCCTAGGCGACCGCCTACTTCGCCTCCCCTCAGAACCGGCCCTGACCACGAGCAAAAAAATCTCATAACTTATTTCTTTTGCAAACACCACCATAATCATCGCAGTTAGTTCTGCGTATCAACTACATTGTGTCGAGAACACCAAGTTCAATATCCGAAGTCCGATTAAACAGTTTAGTATTTATAACTATTTATTTCTATTTAAATTTTGTCCAATGTTCATCTCATATTTAATAGCCCTTCAAACAAAACTCTTATATTAACTGATCAGTTCCACAAAGGTTCGAGTTACAAATGTAATAAATCCTAAAAAACAATTGAACAAATTACTACAAGAAACTACAAAATTTCTAAGCATTGTACTTATAAGATCAAAGCTTAATTAATTGCAGGCCTTCAGGATTGACATTGAAGCTGTGGTACGATTTTCCGGATCAACCAATTAGCCATAATCTTGTTTCCGATTCTCGTCAAATTAATCCCGTCCCAGCTAATGTACCTATTTCGACCCATAAAATTATTCACGCCGCCGTGACCACACATTGTCGTTACGTTGAAGTTGTAGTCGCCCCCGATTCCACAACAAGCTCTTTCCGTGTCGAAATCTGCATTCAATCAATATAATCGACAAATTAAAACGTAATTATAATGATATAATTATATTCAATAATTTAGAAGAACGTGTTGATTATTTATATATATTTATATTCATGTTCGATTGAGAATTAATTAATTACGCACCGTTCAGTGTGGCGATTCGGTGGAGGTGTTTATAAGCTTGGTAGTAATCTCCGTAAACTAGTACGGCATTTGGATTCTCTCGCATGAGACCGTTGATGCCTTCTTGCAGTTGTTCGTTGTGGTTCTTCGCTAGATCGTTGAATTGATTGAGGCATTGATTTTCGTCGTAGTTTGTCGAGACGTTGCTTTGGAAAAGCGTTTTGTAAATCGGGAGACAGCCAATCGGGAATATTCCGGGAACCACCACTCTTCTAGCTCCCAAATTAAGTACTCCCTGCAATTTATGTATGAAATAATAAATCAATAGTTCAATCTAATTAAATCTAATAACTGTGAATTGGCTTATCTTTCTATAATAAGAATAATAACAATTATTATTATTAATAATAAGAATAATAATTAAAAAAAAAAAAAGGTAAATTACAACCACCCCTGAGGTATGGTCAAGTTACGAAAACCCCCTCTTATTTGGGTAATTACAACCACGTCCATCAACTATAAATCTTCTTACACGTCCACCCTTGCAGTTTCATATTTAGAGGAATATTCTTCTAGATTATATGGAATATTCTCAATTTTTTACCCATTTTATCTCATTCGAGCTCCACATTTTGAAGCAAGATGGTCATAATATGTATGTTTTGGCTTGTGTATATCAGATTGTGGTGCATCAGGAACTGTATTTTTGCATAAAACGGGTACAAACTAGAGAACATTCCACGGAATTTAGATGATTATGTTGAATTTGACACCATAAAGGTGGAGGTGTAAGTAAATTAATAGTTGAAAGGTAGATGTAATTATCCAAACAAAAGAGGGGGTTTCGTAATTTGATCATATCTCAGGAGTGGTTGTAATTATAATAATAAAAAAAAAAAAAAAAAAATAAATAAAAAAACTAATGCACGTACCCTTGTAGCATTGATGACAGCAGCAACAACATCAGGCACCATATCTGTTAACTGATCCATGGTTAATTTTCCTTGCAAGATAGCGTACTGGTAATCGGATCCACCGATTTCTCCGACGAAGAAAATCGCCTTGTTGTATCTGTCGGTACAACCTGCCGATAATTGGATCAAGAATTACGTAATTAGTCGCGTGTTAATTAGTAATTCAAACAATAAAATTAAGAATTATGTGAAGAGTGATTGATTAATTACCATTATCATTGAGACACGTAGCGGAGTTGAAATAGTCGGACATCCAATCCAATTGGACATTGAGAGAACTATTTGTCACCGGAGACGAAATCATGTACTTCGTCGCTAATAATTCCGCCGGCAAAGCTGTGGACCCCGCCACGGCGAAGTTTACTCCTTTGTTATAATATAAGTTCAAATCCTTGTAGGTATCAGGAATCGGATTAATCCCAGCCTCGTACGCTAATTAAGAACCACGACAAAATTAAAATCAAAACGATCGATCAATACACATATTAATTAACTAAAATACTAATGAAAAATTGAATTAAAAAAAAAAAGAACAAGAAGAAATTACTCACCAAAATTATCGGTGATCAACAAGCCGTTAGAGGAGCGGCCGTGCGAGTACGGTTGTTTACCGAAGGGCAAAGTAGAGCCGACGGTTTCGCTGATCAAATTCCCGGTGTCGGAAAGGGACCCGCCGAGTAGGTACATCTTGTCGAATCCGCACTTCTTCAACGGATTAATTACGTTACCGTTCGGGTCAATAGAATCTGGGTTACCGTAATTAGTCATGCCGGTACCGTACCAATTGGCGTTACCGTACGAAAACAACACGCAGATTAATAGAACTAAGAACATGATTTTTTGTTTCTGAACTAGAGAAGAAGCCATTGAATATTATTGAAGTATCGAACAAAGTTTATTTTTTTCTTTTGAAAGATAGATTTTGGTGCATGTGAATAAAATTGCTGTATTAAGGATGCATGTGCTTATATAGATAGGGTTAGGGGTCCTAGAGTTATTAGGAGTCCGTGAATTTATATACTCTAATAATAATTAATTGGATTCCGGCCACTTCGAATTAGAATTACAATTGGGACTGGAGTTTACTTAATACATTCTATTGCAATTCTATTACGATTAGGATTATAACTTACTAGGTTTTCACAAATACTTAGGGGTGAGAAAAAAAAAAACCGAGGAAACGAACCGAATTGCACCGAACCGAAACATAAACCATATACTCGGTTTTAGGTTAAATACAAGTTGCACATCTGTATTATCACATGTGTCATATATATCTTATGTACTATAAAATGCAATAAAGTGGCCCCTCAACTTAACGGTTAATCCCTAAATCTCTAACTCTATTAGTTTTTATATGCATTGCACAGACACTTCTAGAAGGTGAAGAGTCCCCGTACTGATACCTGGACACTCGGATACACCCGGACAGGGGCGGCCTTGGCCCAGGGCGAGCAGGGCCCACTTCCCAATGGGACCCAAAAATTATTATATTTTTTGTTATTATTTTATAATTATATTTTCTTTTTCTTCTTTCAACCCCTATTCTCTTCATCTCAACTTTTTAACCCATACTTTCCATATTAATTTTTTTGACCCAATCTATTTTGTCCTTTATCTCTCTCTATTTTTTTTTCATCCAATCTCTTTTGTCTTCTTACCATTTCTCTCTCATTTACATTATTTTACTCTAATTTAATTTTTCTTGCACTCCTATATATTTCTCTATTGTTAGTTTCTACAGTTTAAACTTAGTTGTTTTTTCCATGTTATTTGTGTTAAATTATATATATATATATATATATATATATATATATATATATATATATATATATATATATATATATATATATATATATATATATATAGAAAAATCGGAATTAAGGGCCTCGATTTTAAGTCTTGCCTAGGGCCTCCTATCACCCAGGACCGGCCCTGCACCCGGACACGTCTCGGACACACATGTTGGGTCGTATCGTAATTTCGCTAAAAGTAGGACACCTGTGTCGGGCAGTGTCCATAATTTTAAAAAAATTGGGACACTTCTCTTACGTTTTAAGAGAGATTCCTAATGAAAAAAAATGCGCATTTTGTTTTCTCTGCAATACACATTTCCTCTGTTTTCTTTGTGAGTGTTGGTTAAAATACCTACACGCAAGTGCACGTATCGTACAAGTAATATAGTGGACTAAAAGTCCGGATATCGAACCCACAGGGAATATTTAATTATCTAATCCTAGACGCTAAATTCTACCAATTATTATCAAGCCCACCCTACACAGTCGACTTTAGGAAGAATTAACTAATTAAACTAAATAAAAAACAAGCAAAAACAAGAAAGCAATTTAAAACGAAGATTTAATCAAGATAAGCAAGCCTAGGATTTTATTCTTCTCCCTATGTGATTATTACTCCCCCAATTCCTTCAATTATGCAAGCAATTAACCCGGATTATTAACCTCAGATGCTAAAATAATCATAACCCGCTTCCGCGTGTATTACGATTCTAATACTCTAGATTCAATTACTATATTCCTATGCAATTAATTCTAGAACACAACATTAAGCACAAATCTCAATAATGGCTACCTAAGAGATTAACTATATTCCTATGTTAATACCACAAAGGCTCTTGTACCACAGTTCTAATTATTAACCCGATCTTCCGATTCATGCGATTACAATAACATAAAAGCACATAAGTTGATCAAGTTCATGCACTTAATAAAACAAGTAGAAGAAATAATCCGGAATTAAAACTTGCATAAAATCATAGAATTGGGTTCATAAATCCCACATAGGGTTCCAAATAAAATCCTATAAATAAGAAATTTAGCTACTCATGATTAAAGGAAAAACACAAATAAAATAAATCATAAACGATAAATCGTTGCTTAGAGTCTTCGAATTCTTCGTCTTCGTTATTGCTTTGTTGCTCTTGAAATTGCGTAAAAAAGATCCCCAATTGTGTGCTTGGATTGGTCTTATATAGGGTGAAGAACTTGGGGAAGAAGGCAATTTCCTTGTGCAATTAAAATTCCTTTACCGCGCAACTTCGGATTCTCGGACGGGGGTCCCACAATTTGCACTAAAACTGGGACGGGGGTCTGAGCTTTAAATCTTCAGAATTTTGATATTTTCACTTTTGACCCATATTTTCGCCAAAATTGCAGTTTTGACCCCATACTTTTCCAATTCTTCAATTTGTACCTAAAATACAATAATTCAACTTTTTAAGCACCAATTATCGTTAAAACACACCAAAAGCTCAAATAAAAAGATACGATAAAGTGTAAAAATATACACTTAACACACCCCCAAACTTGAACTTTTGCTTGTCCTCAAGCAAAATCTACCAATAAGCAAATAACTCAACGATAACATCTCATCACATAGATCAATGATCAACTTCACGTTTTCAGAACTTGTAATTATAATGACAATTCTTAGGCATTCGCAAGCTCAAAATTCAACAACACTTAGTCACTCACCATTACCAAAAACCACAATTCATACAATTGTTTCAAGCATCCAATATTTGCAAATTAAAGATAGAAAGAATTTATACTTACATGCATATGCTTGACTCCAAATACTCGTCAAATTATTCTACTCTACTAATATCGAACATTAAGCTATTGGGATCATTGGGGCTTTGTGGCTTTCAATTGTTAGGCTCTTTGGTTCGAGGTAGGAAATATGGGTATGTGTGGCTATTCTTCTTGAATTTAGGTGATTACGCCCAAATTTGAAAGATAGGCGTTTGAAACAATAAATTCACCTCTACGGACTTTAATAAACTCGATTCTCAAAAGTTCAAAAGTCTCCACTTTTGCTTTTGTGGCAATGGATCGAGCTTTCAAAAATAATTCAACAACTAGTCCTTATTTCTCCCTTCTAGTCTCTTCTTCTTCTCTTTTTCTCTTTTTTTTTTATCTTTTTTTTTTTGTTTTTTTTTTAATATATATATATATATATAGAAGCATATATATATTTATCTCTTTTTTTCTTTTTCGGTGTTTTTTTTTTCGAAGAAGAAGAAGGACCTTATAAAAATTTTCGACCGAACTCCAAGGGGTAATTTTCAAGAATCTCCACCTATTCTACCTTACACATTGGCTAAAAGAAAGAACACCTTTTCTCCGAGGCTCAAATCAAGGTTCTAAGGATTATTTCGATAAAAAGGTCGGCTTGAAAGGCTCAAACAGTTCAAAGAAGGCCCAAATCATATCCCAAATCACTCACTATTCAATACTTCGTATCATAAATTTCCTAAGGTGAGTCTTAAAACCGAACATAGCATGATCTAGCACAAATTAATTCCAAATTTAAAATACAAAACATTCAACCAAAGCAATGCACAAAGTGTGATTCCTAGCAATAATTCACTTCTAAGTTCCGTTGAATCGAAAGCTAAACAAACATCAAATCCTTATCACACAAAACAAGCAATCTCATCATCAAACATTGATCATCTCTCATCATCACAAATCATCGATGCATTCGACTCAAGCAATTTTTTTTTTTTTTTTTTTTTTTTTTTTTTTTTTTTTTTTTTTTTAACGGACGGCCGACTCGACCCTCGATCACGTTTTCGACCCTGAAAAGTAAAATTCAAATAGTGAATTAGAATGCATGCTTATGACAAAAAAAAAACGAAACGAAAAATTAACGAAAACTACGAAAAACAATAAAGCTCGGGTTGCCTCCCGAGAAGCGCTAAGTTTAAAGTCTTCAGCCAGACTTTGCTTGTTGAAATTTTTATGTGCAATCCAAAGCCTTGTAGATTGTGCATCCATCCATGAGCTTTTTCACTTCAATTGCAACCGATACAAGGATAGGATTGCAATATGTCAGGGTCCACCTTAGCTTGTAGTCTTTCTTAGTTGTAATCAATCGGTACGAAGCCAAGATGGGATCTTCATCACCCGCTCCCTCAAATTGGTACACAAAAATCTCACGTCCGCGTATAACCTCCACTTCAAACACATTCGTCTTCTCATCAACCTCTATTGATGCCTTCAAAGCCACGTCAGGAATAACAATAAGATCATCAATTTGAATATTTGCACTAACCACATCCATCCCCTTCTTCTCTTGTTCCGAGACATCTTTGAAGTTGAGTTCGATTGCATTCTCATATTCATCATCCTTAAGCGTCTTCGTAAGTTCCTTTTCCTTCTCATCGACAATATTTTCTAGGTCTAAAGGATTTTTCTCACTACAAGTTGTAGACGGATTTTCTTTGTTGCAACCATTCTCGATATTGTCTGAAATATTTTCAAGAGACCTTTGGCGCTTGAATTCTTCCAACTGTAACTCCAGTCTCCGGATAGATGCTTGAGTGGATTTCATAAATTCTTCAAGGACGGAATTCAAATAACACTCCTGAACAATGGGCTCTCGTGGCGTGTTGGTGTATGTGTTCCAATAACCGCCGTTGGTGTTATCTATGAAATTATTCGCTTTCGGTGCATACCAACATTGGTTAGTGTAATGATCTCCACCACATCTTGAACAAAGTAACGGCATATTATAGGTATTTTGGAGGTATTCGCCAGACGGAAGCCATTCATATCCCGTTTGAGTTTCGCGAAAATTGTAACCTGACATGTAACCAAAGAAAAGAAAAAAATATTAAAAAAAAATAAAACGAAAAAAATAAAAATAAAATTCAATTTGGGTGAATCGTGAAAATTGTTCAAATCTAGAGCTAGACTAAAATAAATAATTAAAATATTCCCCGGCAACGGCGCCAAAAACTTGTTGGTTAAAATACCTACACGCAAGTGCACGTATCGTACAAGTAATATAGTGGACTAAAAGTCCGGGTATCGAACCCACAGGGAATATTTAATTATCTAATCATAGACGCTAAATTCTACCAATTATTATCAAGCCCACCCTACACAGTCGACTTTAGGAAGAATTAACTAATTAAACTAAATAAAAAAAAAGCAAAAACAAGAAAGCAATTTAAAACGAAGATTTAATCAAGATAAGCAAGCCTAAGATTTTATTCTTCCCCCTATGTGATTATTACTCCCCCAATTCCTTCAATTATGCAAGCAATTAACCCGGATTATTAACCTGAGATGCTAAAATAATCATAACCCGCTTCCGCGTGTATTACGATTCTAATACTCTAGATTCAATTACTATATTCCTATGCAATTAATTCTAGAACACAGCATTAAGCACAAATCTCAATAATGGCTACCTAAGAGATTAACTATATTCCTATGTTAATACCACAAAGGCTCTTGTACCACAGTTCTAATTATTAACCCGATCTTCCGATTCATGCGATTAACAATAACATAAAAGCACATAAGTTGATCAAGTTCATGCACTTAATAAAACAAGTAGAAGAAATAATCCGGAATTAAAACTTGCATAAAATCATAGAATTGGGTTCATAAATCCCACATAGGGTTCCAAATAAAATCCTATAAATAAGAAATTTAGCTACTCATGATTAAAGGAAAAACACAAATAAAATAAATCATAAACGATAAATCGTTGCTTAGAGTCTTCGAATTCTTCGTCTTCGTTATTGCTTTGTTGCTCTTGAAATTGCGTAAAAAAGATCCCCAATTGTGTGCTTGGATTGGTCTTATATAGGGTGAAGAACTTGGGGAAGAAGGCAATTTCCTTGTGCAATTAAAATTCCTTTACTGCGCAACTTCGGATTCTCGGACGGGGGTCCCACAATTTGCACTAAAACTGGGACGGGGGTCTGAGCTTTAAATCTTCAGAATTTTGATATTTTCACTTTTGACCCATATTTTCGCCAAAATTGCAGTTTTGACCCCATACTTTTCCAATTCTTCAATTTGTACCTAAAATACAATAATTCAACTTTTTAAGCACCAATTATCGTTAAAACACACCAAAAGCTCAAATAAAAAGATACGATAAAGTGTAAAAATATACACTTAACAGTGAGTCCACCCGAAACTCTAAAAGTTTAGCAGCGACGGCGACCAAGAACACGAGCAACAAGGGCGAGCTCTTATGCGATGACGGCTTATAAATATTTTTTTATAATTTATAAATGTACCCCTATATTTTTATTATTTATAAAATATACCCCTATATTTTTTATATTTACGCGCACCTCCGTGTGTCCGTACGTATCCTAGTTTTTTGGAAATGCCGTATCACCGTATCCATATCCGCGTATCGCCGTGTCCACGTATCCGTGTCTGTGCTGCATAGGTTTTTATGTAACGTAGTTACTCTTTTACCCTTACATTTGTTTGATATAAATAGGCGTTTTTGACTTTATTACTTGGCCAATTTTTTTAGTTTATTACGTAGCACTCCGGTTGCATCAATAATTGGTTCTAGAAAAATATGACATGTGGTATTTGGACGTAAAAGATAAAATGCATGAACTTTGAGAATTAGATCTACGAGAAGCATTTTGAATCGAGAAATTTTTGGTTGCAAAATGAAATTATAAAATTTCAGAAATCTAAAAACTATTAAAAAATATTATCTAGAATGAAAGAAATTCATAAATTTTGGGTGATTGGGAACAACATTGCAAAATTAGATAAATTTAAAAAGGAAATTATAAATAATTTTCAGAGTATATATATATATATATATATATATATATATATATATATATATATATATATATATATATATATATAGAGAGAGAGAGAGAGAGAGAGAGAGAGAGAGAGAGAGAGAGAGAGAGAGAGAGAGAGAGAGAGAGAGAATTTGGGTGAAAATTTTAGGTTGTGGAAAATAATAATAGGGAAGTAACACGAAAAAAATTGAGAGTAAATTGGGTATAAGAGAGAAAGAAAATGCACACTTTTTATTCACAATCATAGGGGTATTTTTGTCCAAAATTATCCAACATCTAGTACAACATCGATTAACCATGAAAATTGATGAATTATTTAACATTGCTTAACAACAGGGGCCACTTTGTTGCATTTTATCGTAAAAAAGGTATATCCAATAATAGTAATAATACATAGATGCAATTTGTATTTAACCCTAAGTAAAATGTAGTTTGTCAAGAGATGTTTTTTTAAGTCCAAATCCTATCTCCTATCAAAAAAAAAGTCCAAATCCTATCATAACTAGGGTAACTTTTTTCTATCAAAATGAACAACCAATCGATTGTTCTAGTTAGAGTAGGTGACATGGAAGTCAAACTTGAGAATTTGATTGCTTATGTACTCGTTGAAATAATGGCTATGTTTGGTAAGTTTTTGGGCTTCCATTTCCATTTTATTCTAGAGAAAGATGTTTTGGGGGAAAAATTTGAAAATAAAATAAAGTTTGGTTGTGTTTTGAGAGGAGACAATTTGTACTGTAGCAAGTCAAATCATGTCTATAAGGTGTTGGAAAAAAGTATTTTGGAAGAAGAATTTGAAGGATAAAGTAATTTTAGTTTGTATTTTAGTGAAGACAATTTTCACTGTAGCAGTCAAATCATGTTTGTTGGAGAGAGAAAAATTTGAATTTTTTTTGGGAAAGTTTTTGAAAATATGTTAAAAAGATAATTTTATTTTGGGGAAAGAACGAAAAGAATTTAAAAAACGTAAACAAACATAGCCAATGTATTTGGTATCAGTGAAATTCACCTTTTGACATCCCAATAGGATAAAAATCACCTTTTGACATCCTAATTATCCTATGGAATTGTAAATATATAGTCCTAATAAGTTACTCTATTACTTTTAGTTAATTTAGTAGAATTATGAGATAATTCAATATAAGTAATGTATCTGTTCAATTTCAGTCGATGGGTTACGTCGGTAACAATGATGTCGGTCTTTTCGTTTTGAGACTAGCACTTAGTATATGTGTAATTTGTCTCATCAATCATCGATATTGTGGCATTGGCATACTTGAGTGGGTGCTCATATAGATGAGTTCACTAAACTCCATTGCCCTACAAATCTCTAAGTGGTTCCCACTTATCGAGTAGAGATTTCTATGGTATAGTTGTACCCCATTAATTCTTAAGACCCACACATCACCGTGACTTCACTAGAGGATCATCTGTGTCATGACTTGTCCATAAGTTTCATCGAAGACCGCTCCAAGGGCCTGTGTGTCGCACAATCCAAATTCTAGCGTGAAGTTTGTGCATTGTAGTAGGGGATTCGAATGCTTGATTAGTCATGGATGTCATGTGTTTTCTGATGGTCTATAATCCATAGAGTCATTTGTCAGAGCTGATAGTATGGTGATCATGGAAATGAGTTTCTCTAAGTCATACACGGATATATTATATCACCTAGAACATTCGCATGGTTATTAAACTATATTAGATGCCTTGGTGGACCAATTCCTCTAGTTCAATCGAGACATATACGTCGTAGCGATCGTATTATACTTAGTGATTTGTAATAATGGAGAAATAGAAAATAACATATGCTTACGAGTAATGTTCTCACAAGAAGATTCGGAGGAGGCTTGACTTGTAGATTGCTATTGTTCTCGTTTATCATTATTTCTATCGAAATCCATGACAAATGTAATGTCGATAATTTCAAATATATAATTATGTTCTTAAGATGAATTTAATTTCAAGATTCTGTTATTAGGTTTTTCGACGTAAAGTTGAAAGTTGAATAAAAGTCTTTGGCTCTTTACCACTTCTAGATAGCCATTTTTCTTCTCATCCCTATCTTATTTAAAATATGCAACTTTTTAGATTCACAAAAAAAAAAAACTTTTTATAAACGCAAGCAACTTTAAAAACAAGTCGCAAATTGAAACCAAACAAGCACACGTTAGAACGTGAAATCAATAAATTAAAGAAAAAGATTCGATTAAGATTCCTCCATTCCAAGGACCAATAAACTAGCCCCGCCCGGCCCCACCCTAGAAATCCGAATCGCGTGTTGGCCTGTAAATTGTAATAAACCCATAAGAAATAAATAAAAAGAAAATAATTTGATTTCCGCATTTTCAGATTCAAACAAATAATCGAGGTTGCATATTTCTAAGCCCCGTCAACGCAATTCACCATCCCCGCCGGCATTCTAAACCCTTTCCAACTTTCACTCCATTTTTCCCCCAAAAAACACACAAAATTCTTCACCAATTCCCATGTCGGTGAGTATCATCTTCATCTTGCTGCTTTATTTTATTTTATTTTTTGTTTTTGCTTATTTTATTGGTTTGGATGGATAATCTGGAAATTTTCTGTTCATCTGATTTTTTTTTAATTTTTTTTTTGGGTATTGTTGGTGTAGAATATGTTGATCCGTCTGAGATTATTAATTGCTGATTTTTTATTTATTCGATTGCTTTAGGCATTTTTCCAAATTTGTGATTTGGTCAACTGAATACTGATATAAGTGCTTGCAGTGTTCTGTGGTTGTTGTGAATAGTAAGTACTTAATTTTAATCGATCGAAGTAACTTTACGGTGATTTTCGTTGATAATTTATGTTAATTCAAATATGGATCTCCACTACTACAGATTTTGCACTTGCATTTTTTCCGAGATCAATAAACGATCCCATTCGCATTTTTCGAACATGGATGTGTAGATTATGTTTGTATATATGTGCTAGTAAAAGTCATATTTGTCCTTGCATTCTGAAATTTGACGAACCCAGTGATTGGAACTTACTTACTGTATACAGATGATAACTTCATGGCTTACAATTACAATGAACGCGTTGTTTGATCGCAAGTTTTGAACCCTACATTAGCTCATTTGGAGTTTATTTTGCTTGTAGTAAAGTATTGTAAGAGCATCACCCATATTTGTGTATAAGAATCGACAATGGCACTGCTTGAATTTGCCATCACATAAAGGAATATAGACATGACCACAGTTCGGTTCGGTTCGGTTCCGGTTCCGATTCCTAACCGCCGGTTTTGGTTCCGATTTTCGGGGAACCAAACCGAACCGAACCGAACCAAATATTTCCGGTTCCTTGCGGTTTGGTTCTTTACGGTTCCTTTAAAGAATGTAAACATGTCAAAACAGTAGATACAAGTTTAGGGTAGATTTCATTTATCTGGGAAGTCATTGGTGCTCCATGATTGCCAAAATAATGACGTATAATGTGTAAAATCTGCCATGTATCTGATTGTTACTTGTTTTGATGCCGTAGATAACAACCGTCAAGGTTAGCAATCTCTCTTTGGGGGCATCTGATCGTGATATCCAAGAGTTCTTCTCGTTTTCTGGTGATATCCAATATGTTGAGACGCGAAGGTGATTTTAAGTTTGTTTTTAGTTCTATTTTATGTGTGTATATGTATAGTAATCGTTATACGCACCCTTATATTGACTGTCCGGTTGTCTGTGTAGTGATACCGAGAGGTCTCAAATTGCGTTTGTCACCTTCAAGGATGCTCAAGGAGCAGAGACAGCTATTCTTCTTTCGGTGACTCCCTCTCTCTCTCTCTCTCTCTCTCTCTCTCTCTCTCTCTCTTGATATCTCCCTCTCTCTCTTGAAGTCTTCGAATTTTATTTATATCACACAACTTAAGAAATAGCTACCAAATCAATTTCTCTAGGTCTCTGAAATACCGAAACCATCATTTCAACCGCGAGTTATGCTCAATCATTCTATCATAAGGCCTCACAGTATATGACTACTAACGGATTTATATTTTATACCCCGAGAGTTAGCTCAATCCTTTATATCACCTTAATTTATAAACGACTTGTAATATTTGCCTTAATACTTTCCAACGTGCATCTCCTATACACATGAAAATTAAGTTCTAATTTAAAGGTGAGTGGTTCGTTTTTGTCAAGCATAAATAAAAAGAAATTGAAGTTTATTTCAGTAAGATGATTTTTGTATTAGATTTGTGCAAATTTTAATTAAATTGTACAAAACCCTCTTTTAAAAAAAAATATTACATTACCCCCTGGGGGTATCTTAGTCAGAAAAACACAGCTGTATATTGGGTCATGCACGTGTACAAGGGTAGAACTGGAAATTCAGAACGAATATTCCATGGAATCTTAAAGATTCCGTTACTCATTAACTCCTTAAAGGTGTAATTGTAAGACAAATATATACCTCGGGGGTGTATGTAATTGCCAGTACCAGAGGGGTATTTTCATTAATCGACCCTAGCTCAGGGGCTAATCTGTAATTGACCCTTCTTCGTATATCAAATTTCAGGGAGCAACAATTGTGGACATGGCGGTAGAAATTAATCTCGACCCAGATTACAAGCTCCCTCCTTCTGCTTGTGCACCCCTCTTGGTAATTAATCCTTTATATTACAATTACTATAAAATTACAAATCTTACGAATCTACGATTTACGATTCGATTCGATTTACGAAAATCTTACGATTTACGACTCAATTCGATTTACGATTTAACAACCATGCATATATATATATATATATATATATATATATATATATATATATATATATATATATATATATATATATATATATATATATATATATATATATTAAAGTGTAATGGCGCCTAAAATTTGAACAGCCATCAGAGAAGAAAAACATCGGTGGTGGTGCCATATCGGCTTTCCAAAAGGCAGAGGATGTAGTGAGCAGTATGCTGGCAAAGGGTTTCATCCTAGGCAAAGACGCAGTGAACAAAGCAAAGTCGTTCGACGAGAAGCTCCAACTAACCTCCACAGCAACAGCCTCAGTCGCTTCGTTCGACAAAAAAATCGGTCTCACGGAAAAGATAAGCATCGGCACTTCTATAGTGAACGACAAAGTGCGGGAAGTGAACGAAAAACTCCACGTCTCGGAGAAAGCGAAGTCCGCGTTCGCCGCAGCTGAACAAACGGTGAGTAGTGCAGGGTCTGCTATAATGAACAACAGCTACGTTCTCACGGGGACTAGTTGGGTGACGGGCGCTTTCAGTACAGTTAGTAACGCGGCGGGTGAAGTCGGACAAATGGTGAAGCAGAAAGTTGGAGTTGTTGAAGATGAACAGAGAAGGAAAATGGTGGATGATTTTGCGCAGATTCATTTGGCCGAGTCTCCAAAAGCGGGTGATTCTTCGGGCAAGCCTGCTCCCGTACATGGTTTGATTCTGTGAACATTTTCGTTTAATATATATATATACTTGAGAGAGTTCTTTATAGTGTTTATTTTTATTCACTGAAAATCAATTCGTTATGTGTTTGAAGATTGGCTTTTCTCGATGTCTTGTCTGTAGCTTTTTACAAATATATGTCAAGTCAGAAGTTTAAACCATGATAGTTTGGTGGATGATATGAACTAGTTCTTGATTCTTCAATTGATTTATGGCTGGTTTTTTTTTTTTTTTTTTTTTTTTTTGTGATTTAGTCAAGTTTCGTAGCTCGAAATTACACATATATATAATCTATTTTGGAAAACAATAAAGTAAAATTTTACCTTCGAATTGGAGTTGTGATCATCCGTGTCGAAATTGTTGCTTCATTGCGGTGGGAGAATTTCAAGCTATTAACATATCCCAAAAATTGGAGTCTCGATGAGGTGGTGTTCGCAAAAGTTTTTAGAAATAGCTTCTGAATTTTTTTTCTCACAATTTGTTTTTAGGTGTTCGCAAAATTAGATTTTACTTTTGATTTTTTTAAAATAAATTGTTTTAAGCTATTTTTCTAAAATCACTTCTAGACGGTGAGATCTGTTTTTCCTATTTAAGTTGATTTTTCAGTATATTTACAGGCGTCTCCAACTTTAAAAAATAGACACTTAATACCCCACTTGACTAACGATTACTAACTCGTGTTTTTAAACAGTGTTCTAAAAATCGGCCGAGGCGGCCGATTAATCGGTCTCCGAGGCGGAGGCGGTCCAAAACCTTTACGATTTTAGCGTAAAAGTTTGAAAAATCGGTTTTTTGCCTGTGAGGCGGTCTGAGGCGGTCAAACCTTTAAGGCGGATCAAACTCGGTGGCAAAAATCGGTCAAAAATCGTTTTTTTTTTCTTTTTTTTTTTCTTTTTATAATTCAAAATAAAAGTTGGATTTTAATAAAATAAAAAATGAGTTTATGCCTTATTTTATTTATGTTAATTGTTATTGTTAAAGAACTAATGATGTATGCCAGGAATGTTCAAGAATAAATGTAAATTCAAAAAAAATATTTTTTTATTTATATTTTATAAGGATATTTATGTATTATGATCTTATGATTATTAAACTTTTATTATGTTATTGAGATATAACTATGTTTAAATATCTTTTTATATATGTTTGGAGTATTTATAAATGATATTTAAAAATATATTATATTAAATTTTAAAAACCAATTTATTTCCGATTTATCACCGATTAATCACCACCGCACCGATTAATCGTGAGTCGATGTCTGACCGACTCGGACCCGATTACCGCTTTTTACAACCTTGTTTTTAAATAAACTTTTGCAAACATCACATGAAAGCCGTCACGCTGAGTTAGCAAGTATGCTAATAACATGTGTAGGCGTAAGGCGCTAATTAATTTTAAGAAAAGTTCTCTATTATTATGGTTAGCAAATTTGTGATTTTATCAATTCTTAAATAACAACTATTCATCACATCCATTTATTGCATTTTATTATTCACTAAAATACTATAATTTAAAAAAAAAAAGTGTGTGATGAGTTTTTTAGGCTTTGAATTTATTTCTTATATTTAAAAAACTTTTACAATTTCTTTTCAACTTTTAGTAATAGTTGGTTTTTGAAATATTGTATTTAGTAAATACATATTTATTTTGTTGCAATAATTGAATGTTTCACTACAATGTATCAAAAAAATAATGTAAAGATTTTTTGATTGTGTTTATGAAAATTAGTCGAGACATAGTAGCCTGTTGGTAGAACAACTTACACCTATAAGTCTAGAACCTATTTAGTTAGTAGTTCAAGTCACCTGGAGAAGAATTAAAGAACCAATAACTAAGTATTTATAAAAAGATAGAGTTCATGAATATCAACGGATAGAAATAGACAAGAATAGCAAAAATCATTTCATAACAACATGATTAGTTATTGAAATCATTAGGTAAGAAAAAAAAATATTAAATCATAAATTAATTGAGAAATTATATGAATTGTGTAGAATTACATACACATTTTAAAAAGTTAATATTTTAGAAACTGACAAAAATTAATTGAGAATTTATTTCAATTATATCAATGAGTGAATATTTGAGGAATCACATATAATTAACCTAGTATAGTATTTCGTATGATTTACAAGTTACTATACAAGAATATAGTCTATGTTTGGTAAGCTTTTAGGCTACCATTTCTATTTTATTCTGGAGAAAGATGTTTTGGGAGAAAAAATTGAAAATAAAATAAAGTTTGTATGTGTTTTGAGAGGAGACAATTTGTACAGTAGCAAGTCAAATCATGTCTAAAAAGTGTTGGAAAAAAGTATTTTGGAAGAAGAATTTAAAGGTTAAAGTGATTTTAATTTGTAATTTAGTGAAGACAATTTTCACTGTAGCAATCAAATCATGTCTGTTGGAGAGAGAAAATTTTGAATTCTTTTTTAAGAAAGTTTTTGAAAATATTTCAGAAAGATAATTTTATCTTGGAGAAAGAATGAAAAGAATTCAATAAGCTTACTGAATGTACCTATATAATTGACTTCGGTTCATTTAAAACTATATAATTGACTTCGGTTCATTTAAAACTATATAATTGACTTCGGTTCATTTAAAAGAAGAAAATAAAAAAGGAAACGATGTGACATTTGGAACACACTTTTTTTGATAGCGATTATGAGGAACTTCTATTGCATTTTATCTTAACTTGTAAGATATCAATAATTGAAGTTATGATGTAACCCACAAACCAACTGCAACGTTATCCAAACTCCAAGGGCCTTTTTGGTTTGGGGTATTACAAGGGATGGGATTTGTTGTACCATTGTGTACAATGTTTGGTTCAGTTGACGAACCCATCCTTGATTGATGGGCCACCGTTTTAATCCCCCATTTGAATTATTAGTAGTCAAGCCAAAATTGGCTTGACTAATTATCAGGTATTGCATCCCTTTTAGCTGGCCGTGTAAAATGTCGAAAATAGCCTTAGAAAACACATCAATTACAAAATTAATAGGTATAAATAGTACATTCTTCATCCTCTTCTCTCTTCCACCGTGCCCTAGTTTTTTGCAGGTAAAATCTCCTGCGGTTCGAGTTATCAATGAGCACAATCGACGCCGCCGATCGCTGCCGTCTTCATCATCACGACCAGACCCTCGACGCCGCCAATCGCTGCCGCCTTCATCACCACCACCAAACCCTCGACGCCGCCAATTGCTGCCGCCTTCATCACCACCAGACCCTCAACACTGTCAACCACCACCAGCAACCTCTCCACCGCCGCAAAAAACCTCACAATCGTTCATCTACTTGAGAAGTCATGAGCCCAACACCATTCTCCACCACCTAATTAGATATGAGTTTATTCTCGTCTCCAATTGCCCAACTTGGTCTTGATAGATTTCCACTCTTGCCAGCAATCTGGTGGAAAATTTCTCCATTATTAATTCACAATTTATTTTTTCTTTTTCCTTTTCTTTTTTTTTTAATATTTTTATTTCTTTATTTAATTATTTATTTTTATTTTTAATGTGTGAAAGTTTTCTGTTTTTCTTTTTAATGGAAATCTGTGATAATTATAACGACGAACATATTTGTTCATCGCCGTTTGTTTGTTATTTTCGTTTTCCTTGATATTTTTCAGACCGTTTTCTTTAGGAACCAAACAAAACTATGGAAAATGATATTCCAAAAATTATTTTCATCACCATTTTTCCTAGGAACCAAACACAATTGAGATTTCAAAAGTCCTTGATTTCCTTTTCCTTTGCATTTTCACTTTCCTTATTTTGAAATCTATGAACCAATCCGAGCCTTAATGTGACGGGATCGATTGGCAGTGGTGCAGCTGCTTTTGTTTGACCGATACTAGTTGGTCTCACAGCTTCGGCAATTACTTCACCTTCAGCTTTGAGAGACTCCAAAAATTGGTTGGCCCTTTGTGTTTTACCTAGCTGCATACCAAGACCCTTTGATGGAGCTGAAGCAGATGCTGGTGCACGACCTATTCATGGAGATCCAGAAGGAAAGAGATAAGGAAACACACACATTGCAATTTAAATATTTACTATCAATACTTCACGTTTAGTTCCGAATTCAAAGAAAGATTCAGAAACAAAGAGTAACCTTTGGACTTAGAAGAGAAAGATTCCACTTCAGTATTCACTCCAAAGCCAGAACCACCTCCAAAACCACCACCACTACTAGATATGTTGTTCTCACTGCCAAAGCCACTCTCGATTCTTGAACTCATTGACTGCAGCGACATAAATCCTCCCTTCTCACCTCTATTCTTCTCAATCTGGATGAATTTCAAACAGTTAGTCAATATATGTATCAAAAGGGGCAAACCAGTAATTTACCTAACAAATTCATAGAAAACTGTGTTATCATCCAAACCAAACATGATATTATTAATGCAGGTATTATTAGTTTCTCCCCCATAACTCAAACCAAATAATGGATTACTCACTGCGAATCAACAATTTAGTCAAGTGTTACCATATCCCATCCATAGCTATCTATACTAACCTTCCAACCAAAAGGGCCCCAAGAAAATAATTTATCCTAATTTTTTAAAGTTAAACAAAATCAAGACCAGAGATTGATGATGAGGATTGATTAGGTTAGAGAAAAGCCCACGTAATGTAAATTAGGGTCTTGAGCCAAGAGTTTATTTGTAAATTTAGGATCTTAATTCATCGAATTTGTAAATTAAAGAAACAAGAAACAAATCATCTATATAAATTGAAAGAAAAAAGAGTCGGGGCCAACCACCGTCACAAAAGCATGAAATATGAATAGAGGTGAAAGAAATTTGACCATCCCAAGAAGATGATGAAGCTCATTTGACTAAATTGTGTCGCCGAAAATTAGCATTACGAGAAATGTATTTGAATCTCCATTTAGGCCGATAGTGCCCAAAATCTCTTCAGCTCAACATTAGGAACAACATCGGTTCAATTAGGTCATGTTTGGTTAGCAAGAAGAGATTAGTCAAGATAAAATTAAATAATCTAATGAAACTCTCCACCAAAAAAAAAATTATTAGAAGGCAAGATAAGCAAATATAAGGCAAGATAAGCCATGATTATATAATTTTGGCGGGTCAACCCGACAATTTGTTGAAAATAGTAAACATCAAATTAAGAGGGTGTTTGGCTAAGCTTATAAGATGTTAAAATGAGCTTATAAGATGTTTTAGAGCTTATAAGCTCTTCCAAAGTGTTTGGTAATTTT